GATTTTGGCTCAATAAGAAGCTGACAGCATAGGCCAAGATCCAGGTCTATAGAGCCTGTGTCCTGAGCACAGTCCTGTACTGCAGAGAGTCCTGGACCCTTCATGCATGGCAGGAGAGACAGCTGAACACGTTCCATATGAGTTGCCTCTGACGCATTTTTGGTATCACCTGGCAGGACAAAGTTCCAAATAGAGTAGTCCTAGATCGAGCTGGAATTTTTAGCATGTACTGAAACAGCAACGTCTACGTTGGCTGGGGCATGTTGCAAGAATGGCTGATGGTCAGATTCCAAAGGATCTCCTGTATGGTGAATTAGTGCAGGGAAATCGCCCCAGAGGGAGACCACAGCTGCGATACAAGGATATCTGCAAGCGGGATCTGAAGGCCTTGGAAATGGATCTCAACAGATGGGAAACCCTGACATCTGAGCGCTCAGCCTGGAGGCATGCGGTGCATCATGGCCTCTCCCAGTTTGAAGAGACCCTCGCCCAGCAGGCTGAGGCAAAGAGGCAGTCACGAAAGCAGCAAAATCAGGGAGCTAGATGGGGTACAGGTTGTATTTGTCCTCAGTGTGGAAGGGATTGTCACTCTCAAATTGGCCTCCTCAGCCACACTAGATGCTGTTCCAAGTCCTCCATGCAGAGCACAATACCATAGTCTCTCGAGATTGAAGGATGATGATGAGTTTGTTAAACTGTTGGATTGGGAATGAAAAACAAACATAAGTGCACCCTCTCCCTTTCATTTTTCCAATTATATTTCTGGCTTCAGAGATTTTTAAATGATTAGTTAAACCACTAAAATAGTGAAAGTAAATTCTAAGGATAGTCAAGTGAAAAACTGGGCAGGCTTTTGTATTCAACTGGATATCATTTGCAATTTAAAAAAATACATGTTAATTGTAACTTTTGTTTTTCATTAAAACCATATCATTGCAAAAAGTTCAGGGTCAATAATACTAGGCAATGGCCAACATCCTCATGTGTCATTACTAGAGATGAGTATTTTGTATTCTCGGAGATATAAATATGACCCATGGCACCTGTTGACCTCTCCCTGGGCTCCATGCGGCACTGGTGTCCTTTGTCAGTGGTGGTGCTCCTATCTTGGCATGAGTCCAGCTGGCCTTTCCCTGACACCCCACGCAGCTGACCACTTATTGGCTGAGCTCCACACCAAAGGGGTCGGCTGTGCGGGGAAGTGGGGAAGGGCTACCGGGCTCCTGGATGGATGGATGTGCCACTGCCATTGAAGAACCTCAGCACCACACGGAACCTGGTGAGTAGCCTGGGCAGTTCTAGGGGAAGGAATTGGGTCATGTTCATATTTGCATACAGGATTTGTGCTATGCAAGTATTAATAAGCAAGATGTGGGCCAGTGCAATGCATGTAATACTTGTAATGGGGCTGTGCCCTTTAACAGATTTTTAACTCTTAACTCCCTTCAGCTCCAAGAAGCATGACCAATAATTAGGGATGATGTACATTTAAGACTGATAATATCTGACTACAGGTCCTCAACCTATAGTAAAGGTGTGTGGGACTTAATTGACTATTAAGTTTTTAAAACATCAGATAATGCATTGTCTGATTCTAACATATCTGTAACATAATAGCATCAAGTGCAAAATACAAAAAGCACAGTAACAATGAATTGTAAATTACGTAAATAGTGACAAAATTTTACAGATATTGAGACACACTGGGACACACTGATAGACTCTGGTCAAGCATCTGATGAACGGAAGAGTGCTGTCCTCTGAAGATGCCAGCCACAGAGACTGGCGAAACGTTAGGAAGAACAGAACACGGCCAAAGAGCCCGAAAAACCCACAACAACCATCTGATGAACAGTTGTCACAGTTCCCATCTGTGAGTTAGACTGGAAAAAAATTAGGAAAGAAAAGTTATACGAAGCACATCGGTGCTTCATTTATCCGTCATTGCATTGGTCACAGGGATGATACCTTCCCCTTTTCTTCCATGTTTTGAAGCTGCATCTCTTGATGTCTCAGGGAGGTTAACTCAGCCAAACATTTGATCACTTTTAGGTCCAAAATTGATGGAGATTCTGTATGTCTTTTGCACTGTTTATTCAGTTGTGGATTGTTTGGTTTCCAAGCAGTGCCCTGAAAGCTATGAGGGGAAAAAAATCATTGTCATTTTAGGGAACATAGTTGTATGAATTTTTTTTCCAGCAATGTTGAGGTACATTTAATCCAAGATCTGTCTTGAGATCGTCTGATACTTGCTGGATTATTTCATTTATAAACGTAATCAGTTTTCCATCTCAGAGGTTATAAAGAACTGTGGTCTAACAAATTGAGAAATCACCGTGCAAGGGAAGGAAGGAGAACCCCATCTGTCACTTGTTCCTTATCCATTGAAAAACACTCTTCTCTTTTTCCTTATTGGACTGGAAATTTGAAGAGGCTGGAAAAATTGCTTTTCAATGACAGTGAACGTGCTGGCTGAAGATGCTGCAATTTCTTTTCTGTAGTCCAAAAATGAAGCTTATCTAAGGTCTGGGAATGTAAATTCTGAATCAGGCTAGTAGGTTTGTATTATCTGCTGCCAACTCAAAAAATACTCAAAGGCTCTTGGGATAATCAAGCAACATGTAGCATACATGCCTTTGGGAATGAATTTACAGTTTAATTTTCCTGTTACAATATATTCTTTGCAGGAATATGATTAAATGGTAAAGAATTGGGAAATCAGCTTTCTACTTCCTCCCCCCCACCCGAAAGTATTTCTTTGGAAATTGCCACATTCTTAACAGTGTGATGCAAAAGTTAAAAGTTGATAGATTCTTGATCAAAGACAGTCTAATTATTTATTTTCAGCTAAGCGAAACAGCATTTTTAAGCTGGCTGTGAAGATGAAGGTTTTGCACCATCCTTATTTTAAACACTCATTCTGTATGACTGTGGCATATCTGCAAGGTTATTGGTCCTGGTGGGAATGATGGGAGTTGTAGTCAGACACATCTGGAGAATACCTGGTAGAGAAGGCTGCTGTGCACTGTGCATTTTCCACCAAAAATGGTTAACAGAAACAATATTTCCTTCAATATAGCATTTTTGTTCTTTTTAGGAAGTTCTGTTTTTTAGTGTCATGGGCAGAGAAATTGGGCCCATGCTAGGAATTTGACCAGTCTTCTAATCTTGTACCCTCAAATGGTTTCCTAAAAGAATATGATAGTAACAAAAAACAAGAATGCTTTCTCATTACCACTGCAGAATAGGCACGTGATGGTATTTTTCGTGTTCTCCCCCTGGGAATGCTTCAGTCCTTTTTACGAGGTTGTTTAGTTTTCACATCGAAAATGAAAAACCTATTTTTTCAATTGCATTTAAGGCAAGGCAGTTGGCCTACATAGGTTATGTAAGGTTCAAGCTCAAAAGAAAGATCAGCACAACTGTCAAAATTATGTAGAAAATCAAGTCAACTTGAAATTCTAAGAAAAGAACATACTACAAATCTAAATCTGGCTAAAAATACTGTATTAGCTTTTTCTGGGTTTTATTTTGATTGTTCAAATTTTTAAAACTATTTAAACTAGGTTAGTCTATTTCAAAGTCTCTCTGTTAACATCCTGTCAAGAGATCTTCTGATATTTGCTGAATTATTGCATTTATGTACTGAACGCAAAACAAAGTACACTTTACTTTAATTGGATTTATACCCTGCCCCTCTAGACAAGGTCTACTCGGGGCAACTTACATACATAAAAATAAACAAGCAACATCTTAAAAGCATTTAAACATCAAAATGTTAGCGATTATATAAAAGCCTTGCCAAGATGGAAAGATTAAAGAAAAGTGAAGGTAAGTTTAATTGACTGGAGGGAAAGCCTCCAGTCAGTTAAACTTTTTAGTTTCACTATGCTGAAGTGAGGGAGAGGCATGAGGGTAAAAGGTACCAACACACTTTAGGTGTTTGGTTGCTAAAAAAATCATTTTCCAAAACTGGATCATGTAGTTTATTAAACCAGTGATGAACATATGGTCAGAGAACAAAAAGGACATGAACAACAGTGGAAGAACCTTTGCATGCAGATTACATTCCCAAATATTTTCACTCATCTCCTTTTTCACTGGAAAAGCTTTCAAAACTAGGAAGAGATTAATTGGGATTTTTTTAATACTGCCCATTTGGCCGAAGGTCACTCTGGACAGTTTACCTGTCACCACCACCCCCAAAAGAAAAATAAAACAACTGTCATAACACCATAAGACATAACAGAAATTCAGAAATAGACATAAGATATCTTATAATGGCTGTAATAGGGCTTACAAGGTACGAGATATTTACAGAGTGTTTTTTTTCCATTTCCATTCCCCCACTGAGTTAACATGGCCTAGTAGGAACTCAAATCCTGTTCTCCATAGTCCATCACTTTATCCACTACACCACACTGGGAATCCAGGTAAATAGGTAGCCATTAATGAGACAGAAGAGAAGCAGGGAGAGAACTATGTAACCTGATGCACATTCTAAGTAAAGGTAATTATTAAGCGAGGCACCACTGTAATATTTTCTGCCTTCATCTTAAGGAATATCCCGTCTCTGAAGCTGGTACTGGAAGGAAACTCCCCAGCTGGAAACTGCACATTTTTCCCAGTGCAATTGTAGTCTAGCTCAGTACCATATGATTCCAGTGGTTGTCACTTAAGCACGTATGTGCACTTACAGAAATGAGTTAATAAAGTTATTTGCACTTTTGAAAACAGCATTTAACATGGCTTTTAACTTGATCTGAAGACAAGATAAGTACAAACTAACCAAATTTTAGCGATCATAGATAATAAGTGCATATTTGTCGTAATACTCTAACTCCTCTATATACAGCAATCTCCATTTTACAATAAATAAACTCAAGATGTTTTAGACAGTGAATATTGCTTAAATACAAATCATGGCTGACAAAGATTTAGCCTCAGGAATTATTTCCTGCTCATTCACCCCTTTGTTCAAAATTCTTACTCTCTCACAGCTTCACTCTGACCAGGATAAAGGAGATGGTTCGCTTAAATACATTCTTTCGGGAGATGGAGCAGGAGACCTCTTCATTATCAATGAAAACACGGGAGATATACAGGCCACAAGGAGACTAGACAGAGAAGAGAAGCCTGTTTACATTCTTCGGGCTCAGGCTATCAACAAAAGGACTGGAAGACCTGTTGAGCCAGAGTCAGAGTTCATCATTAAGATCCATGACATCAATGACAATGAGCCACTATTTACAAAAGATGTTTACAATGCAAGCGTCCCAGAAATGTCTGATGTAGGTAGGTGTCAGATCAGTTAACAATGCAGAGATTGATTTTTCACTAGCCGGTCCAGGAACAGTTCTAGACTTATGTCCTCCTGTCTCAGTTCAATTAGTAGTTTTTCCATATTATGCATGAACCTATCTAAGCTATTCTTGTCATGTAATACAAATTAAGCCATTACTGACAGCCTAGGGAGAAAAGGACAATATAGACATGGTGTGTCAACACAGATGACAAGTGGCATACCAAGTGTAATGATCACAACATACATGTAGCCCTTTAGAAAGCTGGTCATTCATAACATCCATTTATTGGGTCAGGAGAAAGACTGTATCTTCGCTCAATCAATAAAGAACTCCCTTCCATGATACAGAAACTATGGTACAGTTTACCAGCTCCCTTCATAGTTGCATGCAAGGAAACCGTGGCAAGTTTATTTATTTAATTATTTATTTATTCCATTTATACCCTGCCTATCTGGTCAGATTGACCACTCTAGGCCAGCATAGGTGTCAAACAAGCATTCATCCATTGTTCTATACAAATTCCCTTGCTTGATCATACAAAGTCAAATCTACTAATTTATCCTGTTTCCAACAGTGATTAGTTAATGGTTTTGGAAGTTCTCAGGGAATACCATAAACATGATACCTTGTCCCTGCTCTAAGTCCAAAGTATCTGGCATTCAGATCTGAGATACTGCTGCTGTATATGGAGGCTGGCTAGCACAACTAATAGCCACAGGTAGAGTTATCCTCAGTAAAAGCACATAATGCTTTCCAAAAGCTTCCTAGGTTGGCAGTTATAACATCTTACACTGTCAGAACAGCTATCATGCTCTATCAAGAGTGTTAGTTGTCTTTAGGCCATAACACAATGGGAAAGAATGATAAGGAAGAGAATATTTACATTAAAGAAAAGTTCTCTGTGTTGACTGATTCACGCCATCTGATTTAAAGAAAATATCAATTTGTCAGGAAAAGGTCTGTTAAAGTTAAGAGATACCCTTTTCCAATCTATAAATGATTTCCCTCCTCATTGGATAGATTTTTCCAAACTCATTCCACTATTTCCTTCTTTCTTTCCAAACTCACAAATGAAAGTTCAGTGACCTCTAACAGAGCACAAAAGAACAGGAAACATATTTAGGAGCATATATTGTCTTGAATGGAATGCAAAGCTTAAAATTTCAGATAGATGGAAGGATAAAGGAGATCCTCCTTGCAGCAGCATATGTGAACTAGAAATGGCCTTGTCTGACAGCTCACAGATGGGTTCAGACAGTACTAATGCACATGTTGCAAGAAAATTCTTACTCATACACACGGATACTATATTTCCTTATGCTACCGTAAGCTCTACGTTTGTGCAGTGTTTGCATACTAACACTACCAATGGACTGCAGGAGGCAATTGCAACTGAGAGACTGTGGCTTAATTGCCCCTCTACACATGGCAGTCAAAAATCCCTCTCATGTGCCTTAGTCTCGTAGCAGGTTTTTCTGAAATAAAATCTAACAATGGAAGAGCAAAGAGTGTGCTGAAGCATCCTGTTTACTTTGGTCCTCCAGATGCACTTAAGAGAGGGAAAACGAGACAGTTGTTTAACCTGTGTTTCAGGAGAACTTCCACACCCTCCTCACTAGATATGCGAAGTCCAAATAATTTGGAAACAGTTATTGTTCTTATATAAAATAATACTTTCAGCCATTAAATTGGTTTCTAGCATGCCCCCCCCCTCCAATGGCATCTCTGGTATAAACTCCATTCCCTGGGCCCATGTGTCTGACCAGAGGCAAGGGTGAATGTTTTATATGGTGTCCTTTGGCTAAAAGCTTGTTTTTCTATATTTTATTATATTTTAGGTACATTCGTCGTGCAAGTCACAGCAACAGATGCCGATGACCCTACTTATGGGAACAGTGCAAGAGTAGTCTACAGCATTCTCCAGGGGCAACCGTATTTTTCTGTGGAATCTGAGTCAGGTTGGGGGACCTTAATCTGTCATTCTCTGACAACCTCTATAATTTAAAACGATGGGTTAAGTAAAGCTAGGACATATTAAGCAAACTCGTCAAAGACATTCCATTTGACTCTCAGTGCAGACTTTGAGAGGCCCAGTGGAGCAATCATCACACATTGTTTTAATCTTCCTATCTTGAGCTAATAAGCAGGACTTCTGAAATATAAGGCCTTATTACAACAATCAGAGACTGTATATTTAGAATGTGTTCATTAAAAATAGCTCTTAGTTCAGCCATTTGGCTCTGATGGGTAAAAAGAAGAGAGGAGAGGTGGAAACGAGATTACTATAATTCACATCCAGGCATGTAGACAATCCAGCATCTCCCGTTAAAAACAGAGCTAGGAAACATGTTGATTTCCATTTGCTTTGCATTTGAAATTCTTAAACCACAAATTCTTTCTTTCCAAATATGAAGACATTTGCAAATGTTGGTTTTGTTTCAAAAGTAAGCTGCAACACAATTCCCCTCCTCCCCCCATTTGCCCAGCCAGATTCAGTACTACACTTATCCTAACTTTGATGGCTTTCATTGCATGCACCTGCCATATAGCTGTTAAAAATATCCCCCATGTCAGGTGGCAAGTAAAAAAAAAAGTCCTAGCACTAGGACAGCAAGCAAGCAAGAAAGAAATAGAAAAGGAGCGGAAGGGAAGAGGGAAACAAGCAGAACCAAACACCAGTTGTGGAAAGGAGAGGATAGAGAAGTTAACAATGTGCAAAGGAAGCTGAATCCCTCTCCTTTCTCTGCTGACTCCTGTGTGAATGGCTGAATCGAATTAACCTGGAGAAACCCAGCTTCCCAGGTGTGACTTCCCAGAGATTCCATTCACATTTTACCTACTGTGTATTCACACCTGTAATCAGTGTTTTGTGGCTGCTACACATGCTAAGTCTTTATTGAATTTTTAGGGGTATCCTCCCACCCAGACTAAAGGATTATCATTATTCAAAAAAAATTTCCATGGTTTTGCTTTGTTGGGTTTTTCCCCTCCTCCTGTTCTGCAAGCACATGGAATTCCCTCAGGTTTACACACTGGTGGTGCCACTTTGGCTATATCAGCAATGACATGCACAGCCTGGTCATGGGAAATAGAGGGAGTGATGGGTAAACAAACTTGTAAAGACACCAGACAGAGAGCCCAATAGAATGTACTATTTCTGTTTGCTGTCCAACGTTTCTTTTCAAAAAATCACTGCCATACTCATTTCTGTTTTTTAAATATATAGAAAGAATGCTTAGATGCTTGTTACGTCTTTGTGAATTTCTTCCAATTTCATGTTATGAGCTTTTTAATCAAACCTTGCTGAAGCCAGTTTCATTGCTTTTAGCCAGGCTGTCAAGATAAAATGTGAATGGAAAAACGGGTGGGAGAACAAACACACAGAAAGTAACCAGTGAGGGAAAGTTATACTTCTTTTCATTTCATAAATGATTTTAGAGTGGGATCAATAGGTTGCTGAAAGAATGGTATGAAACAACAGGATATGTGAATAGCTTGGATATTCCCCCAATACCCACACACACATATACATACACACGCACATACATCATAGCAGCTGTCACAGGTGCCAGTCATGCAAGCGACAGCAACAGATCCAATTTGACAGTTTGCTATAATTTAGTGTGACAACTTGGCAACAGTTTACACTAGAGTATGTGCAGCTATCGTTTAGTGATCCATAGTCAAGCAGAGATTTAAATTTATCCTGTAAAATGCCTTGGACGTTTTTCTGTATGGTGTGTAAAAAAAAAAGTGTGCATATAAAAGATACTCTGACATGCCATAAAAATTAGAATATACCCAAGCAACAGTATACTTTGGAAGTCAAGCATATGTCACAGCAAATATACAGTATATATATCTTTTTAAAAAGCTGACAAGGTCTCACTTAAATGCAAAGGGAAAATATGTTTCCCTCCCTATTGCAGGCTGCCTAAAGCAAATGTGTTTTGGACCTCACTGAGCAAATGCCACTCCTATCTCCAGCAGTAAAAATAAAATAACAAGGCCAATAATCTATTGACTGTCAGCAGAGTGTAACACTCTGCCAGCAGTAGTTCCTCCCAACCTCCATTGTACACATAGAGATCAGGGAGTATTCCTTTGCACATCAACAGGGCTTCCACTTGTGTAAGGCGGTCCTGTCTGACCATCGGATCCCAGCCATGAAAGCCTTCAAGAGCACAAAAGATATGCGACTTTTTCATGGCACCTTCTCATTCTCTTGCCTGAAGGCACAGCTATGCTCTCCCTAACAGCAGGGCCAGTCTTGTGAGGAAGTTCATTCCGAGGCAGACAGGTACCATTCCAACCACTGAACTCAAGTATTTCCAATAACAACACTATCTTCAGTAGTATCTTTCATTTTCTCCCTAGGCATCATCAAAACAGCTCTGCTAAACATGGATCGAGAAAACAGAGAGCAATACCAAGTGGTCATCCAAGCAAAGGACATGGGAGGACAGATGGGTGGATTATCAGGAACCACCACAGTGAACATTACACTGACCGACGTCAATGACAATCCACCTCGTTTCCCTCAAAGTATGGACAATTTAATCATTCAGCCTTATTTTACTAATGACTTGAATTAATTCTGCAATCAAATGATGTGAACGCATCACAGCTTGATGATGATACATAAAAGCAGTGGAGAAAATAAAAATTATTTTAAGGGAAATAGTGTTTTTAAACGTTTCTAGCAGGGAGAAATGTAATGGTAGAGTTTGAAGTGCAGCTGCTCATCATGATAGCACCCATAGCCATGTCTGTGTACCCTCAAGGAGAATCCAAAAGTACAGGCAACTGTGTTCATACGTATCAGAAAATCAGTTTTAGCAGTACTCATCTCCAGAAGAAGCTTGAATTATACATTGAATTGAAACCACTGCAGAATTTTTTTGTGTTGCAACAGGGATAGTTTGATATTGATACAAGATATTGTAACCGAAAATTCCATCTCATCAGCTATATGAAGACTGTAAGTGTAGTTAGAGGGGAAGGGGAAGCCTGAGGAGAATGGCAGATGATGTCAGCTTTCCTTTCCAGTCAAAACATTACAGCTCATCAGCCCTACAGATCCTGGATTATTGGGGCACAGACATGTACAACCACGAAAAGAACATCCCAAATAATGATGACAAATGCTTACTAGAAGTTTCTTTGAAATCGCTATTTAAAAAGGGGGGGGGAGACTAGCCAAAATCCAATGCTTTCCTTTATATTTGCAAACATGTCCTTGAAAGTGAAATGCTGGGTGAAATCTGACCAATATTGCCAATAAACAGATCAGAGGCTGATGTTTTAGCTTCTCCACAATCCAAATACTCTGACACAATACTGTACCTAAGAGAAATGATGAATTCTGCAACTTATTCAGACAGGGAAATCTGTTCATTCCATGTCGAAAACTGGATACTTAATGTATAATTTATTGTTTTCCCAGCCTCCCTCACCTTCATTTTGTGGGAAACTGCAACCTTTTTATGATTATGCCTTTGCTCTTTTTAAAATCCTTCTCTTTTCCTTCTAAATTGAAGATTTTTGTTGTTTTTTAGTCATTAAGTTGTGTCCAAAGATATTGATTAGTTAAAAGTATCTTAGGCCCAGGTCGCATTGTAGTACAAGTAGATGGCCCGGGCGGTTGACACGATCACACCTAGGCGCCCTCTCCCTGCCCGCAGAGCCTATATGGCTCCATGGTACACAGAGGAGCTTTTGGCCATGAAACGGTTGGGGAGACGGCTTGAGCGCAGATGGAGGAAATATCGCTGCGACTATGACCAAACACATTCTCTACCAATCCAGGTGTGGCAGTC